TCATGCTGACTTTGCAGAAGTACATTAGTGAATGGAAGTTTTTTTTTTAAAATATATTTTATTGATTTTTTACAGAGAGGAAGGGAGAGGGATAGAGAGTTAGAAACATCGATGAGAGAGAAACATCGATCAGCTGCCTCCCGCACACCCCGTACTGGGAATGTGCCCGCAACCAAGGTACATACCCTTGACCAGAATCGAACCCGGGACCCCTGAGTCCACAGGCCGACACTCTATCCACTGAGCCAAACCAGCCAGGGCGTGAATGGAAGTTTACTCGTTCCTCTTTCTGAGCTGGGCAAGGGGTTGAAAGCTTCCCGACAAAAGCCGCTTTTGGAAAGAGAAAAGCCAAGAACTGCTTTCCTGGCTCCTAACCTTTCAGGCTAAAAACATTTTAAAAATTAGCATTTTCAGTGTCCAATAATACATGTTTTCAGAATCTTCCTCATGGTGGGTAATATAAACATATAAAAGACCCTCACAGTCGTAGCAGAGTGTCTGACACATTGTAGATGCTCATACAGATTAACTGGATAATGAATACAGTGAGTGGAACCTCAGTTCGCGAATCTGCTTCGTTCTGGAAGGCTGTTTAAAACCTGAATCCTGCTTTCCTTTAGAAATAATGTAAATTGAATTAATGCCTTGCAGACCCCCAGGTGACCTCCTGTTTGAATGTTTCTCATATACAACACATGTCTAATATACAGTTTAATCTATAAATAAACACCTTAAAAACAAAAAGGACATGAAATGTAAATGAGGATTTGACAAAAAGGAAATGAAATGTGCAGTAAAAAAGAAAATCTACACTAATAAAAGACAAACATGCAAATTGACTGTACCTTTGCTATGCCTTAAGCCACGCCCACCAGCCAATCAGAGCGACTATATGCAAATTAACCCAACCCAGATGGCGGCCGGCAGCCATGGAGCTGGAACAAGCAGGAGGCTTGGTTGCCCCAATGATGGAGGAAGGCAAGCTTCCCGCTGCCAGCTCTGAGCTCCACTCAAAGCAACAAAGTTTCAATTATAGAAGGTAAATACATCCCAGAATAAAAAAAGAAAAAAGAAAAAAAGGAGAGGCTGGGAGCTTCCATTGCCAGGGGGCTTGGCCAGCCTGAAAACAGCCATCAGCCCCTCACCCAGGTTGGCCAGGCACCCCAGTGGGGACCCCCACCCTAAAGGGGGTGTGACCAGCCTGCAAACAGCCATCAGCCCCTCACCCAGGCTGGCCAGGCACCCCAGTGGGAACCCCCACCCTGAAGGGGGTGCAGACAGCCTGAAAACAGCCATCAGCCCCTCATCCAGGCTGGCCAGGCACCCAAGCGGGACCCCCACCCTGATCCGGGACACCCTTCAGGGCAAACCAGCCGGCCCCCACCCATGCACCAGGCCTCTATCCTCTATAATAAAAGGGTAATATGCAAACTGACCCTAACAGCAGAAGGACTGGGAATGACTGTTCACTATGGCACACACTGACCACCAGGGGTCAGACTCTCAATG